TATATATAAGGTAATATATTTTATTACGTATTTTTCGTAGTCATTGTGTATTGGTTAATATTGATTTTGGTTAACAGTTTTTTTCGGTTAATTGTTATGGTTAATATAGGTTAATCATAATGGTCAAAATGCGATAAAAATAAAAATACTTTGCTATAAAAACTGAAAAACATAAAGTACATTGTTATAAAAAAGTGAACAATTTAGTGTTTTTAACCTTATTAATATGATAGAAGATTATGTATCCAATTTTATTCTCAATAATCACCTTTTAAATTTTCAATTCTAAATATAATTATATACTGTATATTTAATATTATATTATATTAAAAATAGTTATTAATATTATTTGTTCGGTTCGGTTTTTAGTGGTTCGGTTTTGGATAAAAACCATAACCGAACCATATGTATTTGATTGATCAAAAATAAAAACAAGCACCATCTTTTTTTACTAATGGTTCGGTTATTTCGATTAATTTTTTTGTGGTTCGATTTTTCGGTTAATATGTTCACCCTGTAAGAAATTTTTAATCAAAAGTTTAATATTATTTTATTAATGGTTGATTGTACTTTTATATAGATATTTAGAATATATATTTTAGGGATATTATAGAGTTCTTTATATTTTATGCTCATTAATCATAAGATAATAACTTTATTTTGTGAGCAGAAAAAGGTAAAAAAAGCCCTAACAATTATTTATAGGAAAAGTCAAAAAAAAAATTATTAATAAAAAATGATAAGAAACCCTCAATCATTTTATATGTAGGATTTTAGCCGGTAATTTAAAAAAAAAATCTCTATTATGTGCTAATTAACTATGAAGGTTTTACTTTTTCTAAATAGAAAATAGATAGAGATTATTATTTTCCTATAATTTTATTGTATTTTTTTGTCCGACAAAACATATCATATTATTGTAATTTTAATGTATCATATTAATGAAGATATCCTATGTTAGATAATTCTTTCAGATCAAGATTTTAATTATCCTATGTTAGCAGATAATTCTTTCAGCTTGACTCTGTATAAGTCGACTAGAAAGTTACAAAAACGATTATTTTAAGAAAAAAAAGCCTCGACAAGAAAGTTACTAAAAACAATTAGTTTCGTATATGGGATATATTCTGACAAGCAAAGATAATACATTAATATAGTAAGATAATATATTATGTTAGACAGAGAGAATACAAGACAATTAGTATAAGATAACACCATCTGTTACACAATTCAAACACAATAAGATTCTTTGTCAAACAGAAAGAACAGAGTACGATAGCAATAAAAAGATAATGAGAACATACATTAATATTTGAGAATACAATAAATTCTACGGATGTAATGCCCTGAGTCCTTTTTTAGTAAAAATCAATGACTTTATCATACAAAATTTATAAGGACTCTTCTAAAACTAAGGGCGTGTTCGGCACGGAGCGTTTATGAACGTTTGAAAGCTTCTAGCTTTAGCATTTGACAAAACGCTCATTTTTTAACAGAAAGTCTCGTTCGGCACTACAAGCTTCTAGTGTTTAGTTTAAAAAAAACGGTCCAAATCCAAATGTTACTTCATGTAGCGTTTAACAAAACGCTACAAACTACAAGCTACCCGCTACACGCTACAAGTCACCCGCTACCAGCTAATTTTGCCGAAAACGCCCTAAAACATAAAATCTGAAATTATCGGCTAAAATCTCAAATATGTAAAAGACTCATGGGTTTTTTTTGTATTTTTTATAAATAATTCCTTTTTTTGTCCTTTTTTTGAGAGAAAACGTATAGTTTTATTGTTAATAAACCCAAGGGACTTCTACGAAAATATGATAAATAATTTATTTCAAATAAAAATATGAAATATTTTATGTGGAGTTGTAAAAGTATAATAGTTATAAGTACCTTCATTTTGTTAAAACATTTGTGTATAGTTTAGTAATAAGTATTGGACTATATGGTTGATACCAAATATTAAAAGTACAAATTAATATTTTACTACGTTACATGTGAATTGAAAAAGATCAATATTAATTTGATCCAAAAACAAAAACAAAAAACATGGTGAAGCTAAAAACGAGAATGGAGCCATGTATAGTATATATATACAAAAAAAAGTCGCCGCTCCATGCATATATATGCGCAACTTCACCCTATCTTCATTTCCTCACTTATTCTCTATATATATAATTATATATACCTATAAAAAATTCCCTCTCATTAGATATATAAATATATATGTATATAAATATATATAGATATATAGGTCTATGAATATATGCATCAACTTAAAAACTCCAAAGATAAGATGGATCTTGCGAATAAACCCCATCAAAGACCTCATCCCCGTAATCATGAGCAGCTAGTGGCGGCTGCATGGGCATGAAATAATCATCAAATCCTGGAAATATCCCGAAGTCCGGTACGCTATCTGTATTGTAATCCATGTCAAAGGAGGAGCTAGATACGACATCCATGGAGGTGCAAGTTTGCTGGTAGTTACTGGAAAAGAAGGGTTGATGATCAGACGACGAATCCTGCAACTGAGAAGATGAAGAAGATGATGATAATGATGATGATGGAATGGAGTTTGCGAAGCTAGCAGCAACGGCAGGTATCTGGGAAGGGTGGAGTTCGGTGCCGCCGGGAATGTCCGGAGGTTGATGAGGGAAGTTGAAGTTGGCAGTGTTGCCACGTAGACAGAAGAGAGCAGCATCGAAAGCTCGAGCAGCTTTTTCCGGTGAATCGTAGGAGCCTAACCAGATCCTTTCACGGCTGTTGGGTAGCCGGATCTCTGACACCCATTTTCCCCATTTCCTCTTTCGAACACCTCTGTATTTAGCTTCTTGGGTCCTGTCTCTTTCGTTATTCGCAGTTGCAGATGCAGATGGAGAGGGAGATGAAGGTTTCACCATTGTTTTAACTTTTTTTAAGCTGGGCAGTGTAGTAGTATGTGTTGTTTTGAGATTGTGTTATTGTGTCTGTGTTTGAGTATTTATACTTTGAATCGAAATTGGCGGCTGAATCTGAAGGTCAACTGGGCGCGTTGATCGTGATCGTCTAGAAGAAAAATGCATGCCAGATGGCAGTCAGTGGGTTTTCGGTAGTACTAGAAATATAAATTAAATTTTGTTACGCGGTGACATCATTACTAAAAAATAAAAAAGTACCACGTTCATATCATATGGTCCACTTCTCATTAGTCTATTTCATACTCAAAATTTCTCTTTTCTCTCTCATATATATACATATATATATATATATATATATATATAT